ACGTAGGTCAGGCAGGCAGTTATCAAAGTCTTTGAATGCCAAACAGAGGATATTATATTTGATCCTGGAGGTGATAGATAGCCGCAGGAAGTTATTGAATAGAAGAGCAGCATGGTTACAGCTGCATTTTAGGAAGATCACTCAGACAGCTACTAAACAGAAGAGGAACTAGAACTCTGGAGAGACTTGTAGCAAGTACCACCCCAGGAGTGAAGTGATGAGGACCTGAACCAAGAGGGTGACAGTGGCAGAGGAAAGAAGGAGCCATATATGAGAAATATTATAAAGGTAACATTGCCAGGTCTTGGCTACAGACTGGAAATGGAAGAGGGAGGAGTTCAGGATTCCTCATCAATTTAGAGGGTTGAAGGAGGTGTGAACTAGAGTGCTTGGCTATGAGACTGCAGGGAAGGAGACAGAAGTAAGAGATGTTGGGAAGGTAAAATTAATCAAACTTGGTAACTGATCATATGGGGTTGGGGAGAAGAGAAGGAAGAATCAAAGACAGCTCTGAGCTTAGAAATGCAAGCGATTGGGTGACTGGTGGAGCCCTCAACAGACATAGGGAAGTTTGATTGCAAATAGTAGGTTTAGGGGGAAGGTGATGAGTTCTGTTTTGGACACTCTGCATTTGAGTTCTCAATGGGAAATTCAGAAGGGGATATTCAATAGGCTATTGATAATGGGTGACTAGAATTCAGGGGAGAAATTAGGGCTAGATATATAGCTATGTGGGCAGCTAGGTGGTACAGTGGATAGAGCACTGGGTTTGGAATCAGGAAGACTCATCTTCCTGAGTTCAAAGCTGGCTTCAGACACTTACTAGCTGTGTGACCCTGGGCAAGTCACTTAACCCATTTGCCTCAGTTTCTTCAACTGCAAAATGAACTGGAGAAGGAAATGGCAAACCACTCCAGTATTTTTGCCAAGAAAACCCCAAATGGGGTCGTGAAGAGTCAGACACAACTGAAACAACCAAAAACAAAAAAATATAGATTTGGGAGTCATTTATAACACATCCTTAAGAGCTATGAGCCAAAAAGATAAGAGGGTCCAGGATAAAATTCTGGGGAGCACCTTCACTAAAGAGGTGAAATGGGGAAGTGAGAGGAGAATGGATAATGTTCCTGAAATGGGAATTGAGAAAGACCAAATTAAAAGGCTTTGATTTTAATTCTTTTAAGGAATAATCTTAGTGATAACCATAGTATACTTAGATAGAGCAGGTCTCAGAGTCAGAAAGACCTGGGTTCAAGTCTCCTTTTTGACATATACAAGCTACATGACTATCTTTTGCCTTTCTTTCTCTCTCCAACATTTAGCACAATGCCACACACGTAGAAGGAGCTTAATAAGTGAGTATATAGCACAACCTTTTCACAAGTGAGTATGTATTACAAGGCCTTCATAGTGATAGGAAGATGAATCACTTGGTAGGTAACTGGCTCATCTGAATAAAGAGAATTAACTATTCAAGCAGGCTGGGAAATGAGAATTAGGAAATGGTTCTAAGATAAGTTTATTCACCTCACAAAGAATATTTTTCTCTAAGAGATGAGCACCAGAAACCACTTCAGTTGGGGCATTTACACTTTTTTTTTAAGTCTTTGCAGGTCAAAACCCATTACAATAAACTCCCAGAAACGATCTCAATTCTTCCTGCCCTGAAATTCCATTGTATTTGCTACAGTCGAAAATAAGCTGGCCATCGGCCTAGACTTGATTATCTTTGCATTTTGCAGAAATTCCCATTCAAATGCTATTTCTCAAAATGGGATTTGACCTCTGTTATAATCACATTTCTGACAACTTAATACATTTAAATCAACAGAAAATTCACTGTAATGGCCCAAGATCGCATCTTTTCACATTTCCCTAAAAATGACTAGCTGAAGCATTTTCAAGGGATGATGCAGAAGATCGAACGTAGCTACCTGATTGTTAACAGAAAGACCAATTTGAAGAGGCCAACTGAAAAAAAACAGATCTTGGTCTATTCAAGTCTGTTCAAGAAGAACACAGATACAGGAATGGAGACAATTAACATATTATAAATGTGAGGATTGCATTTGAATGCTGAGACAAAGCCACTGTTCACCTGTTTCTTGCCATGCATGAACAAACAAATTTAATCCAAAGATAATGGTGAAACCTTATTGTAACCAATCATTTCTCTATCCTCTCTCCTTTGGTATCAAACATGATACTAATATTGCTAAGACAGAAAATAAAAAGATTTTGAATTTCATTTTAATTCTTTTAAGTGGAAATGTAAAGTGGACAGAATGGTGTAATTGGATGCATCACAAAATCTCAGAGTTAGAAGAGACCTCAGTGGTCATCTAGTTTAACCAGTAAGCAAATGAGAATCCCCTCCCCGCCAAAAAAAAGTGCATTTATTAAGTGCCTTCTATGTTCCAGGAACTGTGCTAAGAACTTCACAAATATTATTTCATTTGATCCTCGCAACAACCCTGGGTGGCAGGGGATGTTGTTATTATTCCCGTTTTACCATTGAGGAAACTAAGGCAGACACTGGTTAAATGAATCTCATAGCTAGTGAGTGTCTGAGGCTAGGTTTGAACTCAGATGGACCCAGCACTGTGCCATCCAGCTGTTCTCTATCATGACTATGCTGAGATGAGCATTGCTGGCTTCCTTGCTATTCCTCACACAAGATACTCCATCTTTGGGAATTTTCCCTGGCTTTCTCCCATGCCTGGAAATCTCTCCTTCCTCTTCTCTATTTCCTGATTTTCCTGACTTCTTTCAAGTCTCAGCTAAAATCCCACCTATAGGAAGCCTTTCTCATTCCCCTTCATGCCAGTTCCATCCCTCTGTTGATCATCTCCAATTTATCCTGTATCTCCCTTATTTGTACATAGCTGCCTGCATGTTATCACTCCCATTGGACTGTGAGCTCCTTGAGAGCAGGGACTGTTTTATGTCTTTCTTTGTATCTCCAACCTTTAGCACAATGCCTGGCACATAGTAGGAGCTTAATAAATGTTTATTTACTAAGTGACTGATGCTCACTCATCAAGCTACTGATGGCAGACCATCAGTGGAGGAATACCTACTACCCACCCACATAGCTCATTCCATTTTTTGCATCATTCTGATTTTTGGAAAGTTCTTCCGAAATTTGCCTCTGTACAACTTGGGCCCAGGGCTTCTCGTCCTGCCCTCTCAGTCCAAACAGAAAAGCCTGTTCTGATTCAACACTTTGATACTCAATACTTCCTCAGCCCCCTCAGCTGCATCTCCCCTATGATGAAGGTATGGGGGGCACAACAATAAACTCCTCCCAAAATTCCCTTTGTAGAGGGCTCAGGATTGTCCAGCTAATTCCATTTCCCATCAGCTGCTCTGTTTATTTCCGACTCCACTAACATCATGTCTCCAATTAAACATCATGTCCCCCTACATTGGGTACCCTCTGGTGGTCCTGCCCTCCTTTTCAGCTTCATCTTCTGCATCGTATTTCCTCTTTAGATTGTAAGCTCCTGAACATCAGGGACTGTCTTCCTTTTTCTTATTTTTATCCCTAGAGCTTAACACAGTGTCTGGCATATAGTAGGTACTTAATAAATGTTTATTGACTATTGTCTACTCTCTTTTTCACAGTAAACCTTCAAATTCTTAAAGATGGTTACCATGTACCCAGCCAAATTTCCTCTTCTCCAGGCTAAATATTCCTTTAATCCATTTTCACATGAATGAGAGTGAATTTGAGACCTTTCCCCATCTTCACCCATTTCTGAATACTTTTCAGCTTACCAGTATCCTTTCAAAAACATGGCATCCATAAATCAACATAATATTCCAGGTGAAGTCTTTCCAGGGTAGAGTACAATGGTATTGAATTCAGTTACAAGTCCCAGATTTGAATCGTGTCTCTTTCACTACTACCTGTGTGATCATGGGCAAATCATTTAAACTCACTGAGGTTCAGGTGTTTGTTTTTTAGGCTTTTTTTTTTTCATTTGTAAAATGAGATTGTTGAAATACCATAATACAATGATTCTAATTTCTCTGATGGAAGTTCTCTACTGAACAATGAAAGAGGTACAAGGAGGCTTTAAATTAGGAAAAGGTTGTTTGCTGAAAGTGCATTTCTCCATTTGTGGCTTGGAATTAGAACCAATTTTCCTACAGAAATAGAAGTTAGTTTCCCCAGACTAGGCCACAAAAGGCTACTTAACTTAAAATATTATAATACCTAAGGTTCTCTCAAACATATTCCCAGAAGTATGTTAAAGAATCATCATATAAGGACCTTAGGCCGAATCTGAGTTACAATATCATCACAGATCAGCCCTTAGGACTAATTGCTAGATTCAGGGGCAAGTGCCAAGCATAGCCACATATTATGAAATACTCAGGAATTTGGGTGATGGGGATCACAGACATGTCACATTTGTACCCACTCCCTAAAATACTTGAAATCTAACCTAACGTAGCAGACAGGGCAGCTCGGTGACATAGTAGATAGAGTGCTGGGCCTGGAGTCTGGAAGACTCATCTCCCTGAGTTCAAATCTGACCTCAGGCACGTACTAGCTGTGTGACCCTGCACAAGTCACTTCACCCTTCTTGGTTCAGTTTCCTCATCTGTAAAATAAGCTAAAGAAAGAAATGGCAAAACACACCAGTATCTTTGCCAAGGAAACCCTGAGTAGGGGTCATGAAGAGTCCGACATGACTGAAAAACAACCGAACAGCAATAACACGTATGTACAAATCTCCTCTTCTAGATCACAGAAGAAAGGAACCCACCATCCTTTATCTTCCCACTTGTGTCTAGCATTCGGCCTTGCAGATAGAAGGCACTCAATAAAGGCTTGCTGCCTGAATGTATCTATTACATAAAATGAGTCATATTTGTTTTCTAAAGCAGTCTATCAAAAATCATCAGGATCTTGACATTAGATTTAAAATGAGAAC